GAAAGAACGAGGGATTAATTTAATGTGTGCTGATGCCCTATGGTTTGGCATCACAGACGATTTATTTCTGCCTCCATCTGACTTTTGGCATATATGAGATTTGTTCAAACAACTTGCCAAGCCTAACGTTGAAACTGCTCCTTTTATTTTTAAATAAGTAATTCCTAAAAATAATAGGATTGTTAAATTTTCCTTCCCCCTTGCAATCCTTCCAGTGCTATTCATATGGCAGTTCCCATAAAACAATAAAAAAGCTAATCAATTTACTGTTTAAGAAAACAGCAGACTGAAAAAATGTAGTCAACTAAACTTGTCTAGTTCAGAAAAATAAAGGTTGAAAATAATTTTCAGCTTGCAGCTAACCCCTACTTCTTTTCCTAATACAGACAAACACAGAACAAATTAAATACAGCAGTCTCAACTTTAGGTGTAGAGTGGAACACGAGACTGAGCAAACTGCCTTCAATTCCTGACCTCTTTGCTAAAACCAGTGAAGAATATAAATAGTTCCAGTTCTGACATAACACCTATCCCTGAGAAAGTGTACCCAAAAGAGAATGCCCTTCACACCCATCCTGTTAAGCAGCTAGTGTGATTTTGGTTGCTACTGGTAAGACCAGTTTGAAGCCATTATGTAAGAATGTTTATTTGTTATACAGAGCCCAGATCAGATCTATGTCATGCACAGCGACTTTACCACTGTATTTGAGGGTTTTCCAGAGCCCTGCCCTTAGAACCCTACAATTAGGTGGGGTCTCAGTATTATTTCTCTCCCTAGAAAATAATTTCTAGTTCTTATGATATCCAGGGAAAACATTAACAATGATAGTTCCGTGGGCCCAACTCACAAAGCAAGGAAAAATTTCCTATATGCACATAAAAAATTAATCTCACTGGTTCATGCAGTACAGTTTTAAAAAAATGCACATGAATATTCAGTAAACACAGACAGAATCTCCTCTACTAAAGCACATCATTAGCAACTTTCTAGCTGTGAGATGGGCAGGTTTTAATCTTCAGGAGATGCTTCTTTTCCCTTGTACTTGTTCAGTAGTTAGACCAATACAACAGGAAGCCTGTATAGGACTCTAGATTCTCAAGGGTAAAGGGGGGCTCGAATATATGGGTAATATAACATCCCTGATTACCCAACTATTACGGGAAATGCAGAAAAGCTCAATTTGGAAACTCGGCCACCCACCGATGAAGTCCATGTGGGTCCTCCAGGACTTATTAGCACTTTGGTGTCTCAGTACCATGATTCCTCCACAATTCCACATTCGGGAGGTCCTCTTAACCATCGATGTCAATTACCCTGCACAAAGCAAGTTCAGATCCGGATTTCCAGCCAAGCTAGTAAAATCCCCTGGAACGTGGAGCACAGCACAGAAACACCCAAGTGGTTCTGCACAGAGCCAGCTTGGGTCCATCAGGACTTATTAGTTCAGACACTGTCTGAAAGCAGCTGCACTGCAAAACTGGTCCTGGAAACAGCAGAGATGTGTTAACATGGCACAGCACTTGAACTAATAAACTGTTAGTGCTGAGCTGAGTCTGCTCTAGGCCAAATCTGGTGCCTGTATGTCCACAGGATAGTTAATCTGCAACTGGAGAAACTGCCCAAAGAGTTGACTCCATTTCAAACCCAGCATGCACAGCTCTCCCCCCACTCACATGCCCAAGTTTTCTGTCCTCATCACCTCGCTTCATATGACCAAACCCTCCATCTACTCTCTTCCTCTTTGTTCGTTGTTTTCTCTCTTGACTATTCACATCCATTTCTCAGCCTTCCTCTAAATGTCCACGATAAGGCTGCACAATGTACACAAGCAGCTTCCAGCCTTTCAGGAGTAATTAACATGGTTACCACCCTCTCATCTTACCATCTCCACCAGACCAACACTTCCTAACTCTTCTCCCCCTGACTTCTGGTTTCCCCCTTTGTCCTGCCCTTGGTGTTTCAATCCCTAACATAGGAACAACTACACTTATAAAAACAAACAAAAAAAATATGATTGTCTTGGCATATCAAATCATCCTGCCTCCATGGAAAAAAATTAGTATTGGCAGAAACACCACAACAAGAGCTCTCACCAGGACAAGGGCAGGTTACCACTTCTAAAGGTAAAATTTGCTACTGCACCTAGAAGTTGCTTACCAGCCAGCCCACATATGACTGTCCGAGGCTCTCCTTTCCCCTTCCCTTATGTGACTCTCTCATGCCAAACCTGAGTGTCTTGGTGTGGCAAAGGGCTAGTGAGACCAAATACTGTTATCAGGCTGCTGCTAAGAACAGTTAATGAGGAAAGAATGCCATCAGAAAGAATGAGGGTAGGCAAACACAGTCAAAGGCTTGTACAAAATCACACATTCTCAGAACAACATAGTAACTAAGGAACCAGAGCAACACATCCATCATTGTTCAGAACTCCGGTGATATCTTTGCCGTGTTCTAGGAAGCTACTATTGAACGTCTAACAGTCTGATTGATTGAAAAATACTGATACGTAAGAAAGCAAGTTTCGGTTCTCATTGTTTTTACTTCTATACTTTTGACAGACCTCATTCTTTTTTAGACTAAGACATCTAGCTTCTTTGCAGAACTAGTCACCGTCTTCATCCATACAGGAACTTTTACATGTCACAATCAAAGCAAAATGAATGGCATATATCCAAGTGGAGATGCTATCGGGTTGTGTAGGATGGTATCCATTATTAACCATACAAGTTGTTCGAGGAGTCAGACTATCCAGGTGAGTAGTTCAAACTAACTTAAGTGCTTGAAACTGGGACCTCAGAAAGTGCCTTTATTACAAGAAAAGTTTTGGAGCTTCTTGCGTAGCATTAAAACACACCTTGCTCCTTCCTCCTACTATGCACAGGATAATGGCCACAGATACAAGAAGATAAATAAGACTATTTTCACCTAGAAGGTGTTGGTAGAATTAACAAATGGTATTAAACTCACATCCAGAATCAGATCCTGCAATTATTTACACCAGTTGTTTTTAAGCATGTACGTAGCATATGCCACGCAGGTATTATGAAGATATGGACTGCCATATGAATAAAATTTAACATAGCCAAAGAAAAAGCATTTTTTGATATAAATCCAACTGCGATACATCTTCATTCCTAAAAGCTATCAGGTCTTCCCACTACAAATTCTGCTAAATGACCAATGAAGAACTTCTGAGATACATTCAACAAAGCAGTTAAGAAATGCAAAACTTTGCAAAGTGATAGGTGTTACCTTTAAAAATCTCTTTTCTGAAAAAAATGTTAAAAGCAAACTACAACCACTAAATCCATTTTATTTCAGCAGTCCTGTTCTTATGATTGGCAAGTCTCATTAGCCGTGGAGTTCTGAAATATCAGCCACAGACTCTTTTTAAAGTCACTGTGTGCTTTGAGATTCTACTAAGGCTTAATAAACTTTCTTACAGGTCTGCAGTACTATATAAATTTTGTCAGAGCTGTGCTGGCACAATTGGTAATACAAACTGTCTGGCTTCATGAAAGTTACAAGTTCTGGCTCCAATCCTGCAAACACTTACTGAAGAATTTAACTTACTGCACAGAACTGACTACTCTTGCATAAGTTAAGCATATTTGTAAATATTTGCACAGTATGGACATCTGTTGGCATAGCCAGTCATCTGATACAAGATTCAGCTTTAAATCCTAGTCTGCAGAGAGTCAATATTAAAAAAGGAATTCCTCACTTATAAATTCCTTTCTTAGGCACTAAGCATGTCAGATACCAAAGGGTGGAACTGAAAAGTTAAAACCAGAGGGAGAGAGGAATCAGTGAAATCATAACAATAGGTTCTGTTTCTCATGTAACTAGGGAAGCCTGTTTTGTTACGGAAGCACATCTCAAACTGAGCTCCTGCCTTGTTTTCAACCTTTGCTGAAGTAGGCTCTCGCTAGACCTTTCCTTCAAGGGTGCCATTTATAGCATTTCTCACCATCATCGCAGACATTTTCACATAGCTCATAAAATTACTCCAAACAGTTCCTCCTTTTTATCAGGTTTGGTTGAAATTAACACTCAGTTTTGGGTGGGGTAAGAAACAGGCACAGTACAAAGGCTGACCCACAGATAATTGTGGAAGTCGCATTCACTTAGGAAATCAAACTAAAAAAAAGCAGTTATGAAACGCCTCCTTTCTCAGTGTCATGAGTACATCCTGTTTCACTCATCCTCTTTAACAGAAACCCCTTTTGTGATCTGTGAATTTAAAATTTTAAAACCTGATACTAGATAGACACAAATGTAAAGGGAGAAAGGCATCCTCCCATTTATTCAGCACTAAGTGAAACTAAGCCTACACAGTGTTTAAGAACTTGTGTATACTGCATCTGCAGAGCTGCCATGTGGAGGTCTGCCTCTACAGCCCATAGAGGAAGAGCTAAGGAGAGCTCACTCTAGCTTAGGACTTAGGATTTCCAAAGGAGTCTGCTTTAAAACAGGCTTGGAGCACTGAACCGTTTCCTTCAAAAAATGCAGGAATGATCTACGGGGATGGAGGCAAGGTGGGCTGCCAGCAGCAGGGAGACGATGGCGAGGCTCCATCAGGGACCTCGGTGACAAGACCACTCTTTTACAGCTCCTCTCCCCGGCGCTCACAACGCTGTTTGTAAATGAGGGGTGACCTGACCTTTGGAAAACCCTGACACACAAAAAAAGCCCGCGTAGGTGCAGTGAGGGAAACAGGGTCCTTGGGGAGGAGAAGGCGACTACCCTGTAAGGCCTTGTGTAAAGGCTGTGTCTCAGAACGTCCTTACCACACCAGGGCCGGGGCTGGCTGCACACAGCAGCCCGGAGACCTGCCCCAGCCCGCGGAGAAATGCACCCGTCTCTTGCCCCTGCAGCGGCCCAGCCTCGCCGCGATGCCGGCAAGCATCGCCAGGGCCAGTCAGCGGGGCGCGGTGGAGAACGAGAGATCGGCGCTGCGGCAGAGCCTGTGTCCCACCTCGGAGCCCCGCCGGGTTACCTGGTGCAATGAGCACCCATTGCCCAGGGTGCGCGTCCGCGGGACGCCGGTTCGCGCCGTGCATGCTCCGT